CTTTGAAAAAATCGTGAAAATCTTGGAGCTGGGCGTGTCTGAGAGCTTGGGGATTTTTGCGAGCAACGCGACCAACAACCAATCACATGAATATCCCGCCCCCGACATACAAAGCAAAAAACCCCGGTTCTTCTCCACTCAGAATATGTGCAGAAAGGAGTATGACATTGTGTGCATTATGCATATAGTCTATGATGTGGCAGAGGTAAAGTGTCAGCGGGAAGGGCTATGATGAACATGTATGAGATTAATGTCTATGGTGCTATTTTATGCTACATTCCATGCTGGCTAAAGATACTGTCTATGCTTGATAGCAATGTTTAAACGAAGTAAACTGGATATAAACTCCCTAAACAGGCGAAAACCTACCAGTTTCACCCACTGTCTCTGCCACCTCCCTCCATGCCTGGTTCCTCCGGTTTGTATCCCGGTAAATAGTTCTGGTCGTAAAGAACCGGGTGATTTGCTACCGTAATTTCTCGTTTGGAATATGAGGGAATGAACTGCGGTCTGGCTCTCCCAGCTTACACGCGGTTTGATTGGCTAGCGCTTGTACTGTCAGATTTGCATAAACGGGATTTGATTGGCTGATGCTTCCAGCTCAGATTCAAAAGTGGAACATCGCTCAACTTTTGAATCCTGAAAATCCTGGAAATCTTCGCTTTGCTTCCCCACAATGCAGTTCGGCGAGGCAAAGTGACGTCACCCCCATTCAAAGTCAATGGGCAGAGAAGCGTTGGAAGATTTTTTTAAAGCTAGTGTGTGGACGGGGCGTAATAGATACTATCTCTTTACGTATTAGTGATGGGAATTCCAGCTCTTCTTAGTGACTAAAATTAAATTAGTCACTAAGAAGGGCTGGCTCCTAAACGGCTCTTCAGTTTACCACGGAGCCTCAGTTTCGCTGCTGCAGGGCCCCGACCCTCGCACTTCACGCGCGTGCTCCACTATCACCCCCCGCCAAGGCTCGCCGGCAGTACACTTTCCGTCACAGGAAAACGCTTTGCTGGCGGCGAGAAGAATCCCGCCAGACTCCTCTGCCCCTCCAACAGAAGGATGTCCTTGTCCTTTTTCCTTTTCGTCATTTCAAGCGATAAAAACTCAATCTTCTCTCAAAGTATTATTTTTTTTTTGGCCGCCCTCGGCTCGAGTTCAGGGCGTTCCGAGCTGAATAAGGGCGTCAAATGACGGAAAGACGCCCCCCTGGCAGAAACGCTGGTCATTGTGTTTAATATAAGAATCTACTTATGACATATTTTAAAGAGGTATATTATATGCAGTATGAATTAAGTTAATGGGTATACACACTATAGACAGTAGTATACATATTGACTACACTGTAGAAATGTAGACGGTATAAAAAGACAGAATGCATATTAAACACTATAGGCAGTTTTAAAGATATCCCAATCACCATAGGTTTTATGCTAATGCTCTTTATTAAAGCAGGTACTGTGTGTGTTGCTCTGTAAATATAAAGTGATTTATTATATTTATCTTCTTCTCTTGTCTCCCTGCAGAGACAGAAACGAACTGGCGGAGGTTGTTGCTCTTCTGAAAACACAGATCGACCCCGCGCTGTTAAAAAGAGACGAGGAAATTAAAGCTGCAGCTGAAGAGGGGAAAGAGAAAACGGACGGTGAGGTTTAGACTTTCAAATAATACATTACAATACGTTAGAATGAACTATTTGTTGTTGTGTGAGGCACATTTTAATCACCAAGCTAATGCAATGTTATAGTAAGAGAAACATACTTACACAGAAAAGTATTTTGTAGGAGGAGAGGAAATCAGTTCCCACAGTATTTAGAGTTACATCAAATTAACTGCAAGTTATAACGACTACGTTACTAGTATTAGTGTTAAGTTATACCTATAAAAGTCTGCACATTTCTTTGTTTTTCTTGATATTCATATTATTTAAGCAGTCATTTTGATGTTTTATTCTGTATTTACATTCCAGGTGAAGTCAAAAAGATCGAGGGCTCTTCAGATGAAGATATCAAAGACAAGGCTGCCGGTCAAGTCTCACCGAAGACAGAGAATAATGAGAAAGAGACAGAGAATAATGAGAAAGAGACAGAGAATAAAGAGAAAGAGACAGAGAATAAAGAGAAAGAGACCGAGAATAAAGAGAAAGAGACAGAGAATAATGAGAAAGAGACAGAGACCGAGAATAAAGAGAAAGCAAAAGAGGAAGACGACTTTAAATCAGAAACGTCTCTGAATGGCGTCATCGAAGAAAAACCTGAAGCTGAGTTAAATTCAGAAAAGCCCGCCTCGGATCTCAGCGTCATTAAAAAAGTCCAGAATATCAAAGAGGAACCGATGGAGGTGTCGGACACGAAACCAAGCAACACGGCAACAAGTGAACCGGCCTCTGAGGTGTCTCGTTTATCAGTGAAGGCAGAGAAAGGAGACGAGGCGAAGAAAACAGAGGAGATTCAACAAGCTCTGAAGAACGACCAACAGGCTAAAATCCCCCTGAAGAAAAGGGGAATGAAGTTTAGCGAAGACTTTGAGAAACATAGTGGGATCATAGTTCAAAACCCGTCTGTTTCTCAGCTCAAAGAAGCTCCCAAAGCCGACTCGACTCTCGATCAGAGCAAGAAAGCGCAGAGTGTAAACGATCACGTTAATGGAGAAGTTGCGTCAGCGAAAAGCCATTTGAGCGAGTCGCTAAAAGACGCCGCTTCCTGCTCTAATCATAAAATGCAGGAACCAATAAAAGCTACATCGGCTACAAAAGACTCATGTACAGAAGAAAAAGCGTTGAAAGAAACTGATAAAACATTAGCGACTGGTGAGTCAGAGAAAGACGCGTTGAAAGAAGTGAAATCAAAAGATTTGGAGGAAAGAACAGCCAGTGTTGACGCATCAAAGTCAAGTAAGGCTGAGGAAACCAAGACGAAGCAAACGGAAAGGAGTGAGGATAAAGAAAAGGCCACTTGTGAAGCTGATGTTGAGAAATCGGATAAATCAGCGGAGAAAGAAAAGCAAGGAGTCATTAAAACATCAGACAAAGATCATGCAAAGAAATCAGCTGAATCGGAAAAGGCTGCATCAACTTCGGTTGTGAAAAGTACAGAAAAACTAAAAGAAAGTGATAATGCGGAGAGTAAAGAAGCCACAACAAGTCTTAAAAAGGCAGAAATCAGTGACAAATCAGATTCTGTGGAGTCTCTTGTTATTAAAAAGCTTGACAAATCGTGTACACTTGGCGAAAAGCAAGATCAAGACAAGAAGCAACAGAAAGCCTCTGAGACTGACACGGAAAAGCCTGAAGACGTGAAGAAAGCTGTCAACTGTGAAGACGTTCCGATGCACGATGTCTCCAAGATAAGCGAGTCCGTGGAGGTGGAAGCAGTGGCCGTAAAACCCGATGTGACAAAGCCTCAGGAGGACGACAAAACTGAGATTAACTCTGTTGCATCTAAGGAGAAGAAAGGGGACACGTCTGATGGGAAAGATAAACCGTGCAGTGAGAAGATTAACGTCCCTAAAGAAACTGAGAGAAAGGATAAGGGAGAGATGTCTGAAGAACAGGCTAAGAAAATGGAGGCGGAGTTTCCGTCATCGGGAAGTAAAAAGGATGCAGACTTGGAAAAGAGAAAGGACACAGAGATTAAAAATAAAAAGGACACAGATTTGGAAAAGATGACGGAATCGGCACAGAAAAAGGACACAGACAAAGAAATGAAAATAGACACAGATATGGAAAATAGAAAGGAAACTGGAAAGCAAAAAGACACCAAGGCCGAAAATAAAAAGGACACAGACTTGGAAAAGAGAAAGGAGATTGACACAGACAAGAAAAAGGACACAGACTTGGAAAAGAGAAAGGACGCAGACTTGGAAAAGCAAAAGGAGATAGAATCCGCAAAGAAAAAGGACACAGACTTGGAAAAAAGAAAGGATACAGACTTGGAAAAGAGAAAGGAGACTGACTTGGAAAAGAGAAAGGATACAGACTTGGAAAAGAGAAAGGAGACTGACTTGGAAAAGAGAAAGGATACAGACTTGGAAAAGAGAAAGAAGACTGACTTGGAAAAGAGAAAGGATACAGACTTGGAAAAGAAAAAGGACACAGACAAGAAAAAGGACACAGACTTAGGAAAGAGAAAGGAGACAGACTTGGAAAAGAGAAAGGACACAGACTTAGGAAAGAGAAAGGATACAGACTTGGAAAAGAGAAAGGACACAGACTTGGAAAAGAAAAAGGACACAGACTTGGAAAAGAAAAAGGACACAGACTTGGAAAAGAAAAAGGACACAGACTTGGAAAAGAAAAAGGACACAGACTTGGAAAAGAGAAAGGACACAGACTTGGAAAAGAGAAAGGACACAGATTTGGAAAAGGACACAGACTTGGAAAAGAGAAAGGACACAGACTTGGAAAAGAGAAAGGACACAGACTCGGAAAAGGACACAGATTTGGAAAAGGAC